GACAACATAAAAACATTAATTCATAGAGAAGACAATCTCAACCAACTTTGATTTCATGGCAAAAAATGTAGTCTGATAGTCAGAAAATGAATGAGTGAGAATGACGGGCAAGAAAGGCTGATAGGAAATCTGATTGGTTTATCGTCTCTATCTCTCACACGCGTTCTGATTGCCAGATTCACGTTTGCCTACTGTTTCATATTCTCATTCCATTTGTAAGAAATTTATATGCAGATTTCATTTCAAGGTTTTTCTTAGTGCACAGATTAGTTTTCAATTGCAGATTTATATGTAAGTTTTCAAATTAATTGCAGAGATAATAATTCATTGTCGCTAATTAAATTGGTGGCCCTAATTTGCATACGCCGGTGTGAAACCCTGTGGGAGGTCATCCGGATGTTGAGGATAGTTTAAGAAACAAGGCATTTGAAGTCATTTATCAACAGACCGGCAAATAAAAGATTATAATTAATATTATTGATAATTTGTAATGCTAATTATGGATGTAGGCGTTGATGCTATTGGCGAGAAAAAAACCATGGGTTAACATCATCCTAAATCATGAGGTGTACACGATGCATAGGAACACACACACACACACACACACACACACACACACACACACACACACACACACACACACACACACACACACACACACACACACACACACACATTTGGAATGGAATGCATTAGGAAGTGATGTGGTGGAGGCTGACTCCATACACAGTTTCAAATGTAGATATGATAGAGCCCAGTAGGCTCAGGAATCTGTACACCAGTTGATTGACGATTGAGAGGCGGGACCAAAGAGCCAAAGCTCAACCCCCGCAAGCACAATTAGGTGAGTACCCACACACACACACACACACACACACACACACACACACACACACACACACACACACACACACACACACACACACACACACACACACACACACACACACACGCACACACACACACGCACACACTTGATTATGGGGCCTGATAGCCGAGCGGACAGCACTCTGGACTCATAATCCTAGGGTCCGGGTTCAAGCCCCGGTGTTGGCAGAAACAAAATGGGCAGAGTTTCTTTCACTCTGATGCCACTGTTACCTAGCAGTAAATAAATACCTGGGAGTTAGACAGCTGTTACGGAGCTGCTTCCTGTGTGTGTGTGTGTGTGTGTGTGTGTGTGTGTGTGTGTGTGTGTGTGTGTGTGTGTGTGGAAAAAAATAGTAACAGTTGATTGACAATTGAGAGGCGGGCCGAAAGAGCAGAGCTCAACCCCCGCAAGCACAACTAGGTGAAAACACACACAGTCAATGCTCTCGAATTGCGGTATATAAAAACTCAAAGTCGACTTACACAGCACATATACGTAAGTCACCTTACACACCTGTAACCTTCCTTCTATCCTGTTATCCTTCCTCATCCCTCCTCATCCCTCAACCATCCATCTAATACCCCCCCTCCCCCCCTCACACTCAAAAAAAATCAAAATCATTGGCATTAAAGAACATAGATCATCGTGTCTATCGCGTCCAATCCCGGGAATCGAACCGTCATGATCCTGACCGCATCCTACAGTCTCCATGGAATAACAACCACCAGGTAAAAAAAGGATTGGTAGGTAGAGAATAGAGGGAAGGATTGAACAGCCAGTGGAGTGAGTATTTAGGGACAGAACGCGTTGTGTCAGGCGTCTGAGTGCCTGATTGCGTGTCACTGGCGCCGGCGGTGATTGGCAAGTGCGATTGGGCGAATCTTGGTGGTAGGGGGAGAGGGGAAAGAAGTAAAAATAGGACTGGAGAATGGAAGGGGGATATAGGAACCAAGGATAAAATAATTGGAAGGATTGGAACGGATTTTAATTTTATTAGCAGTGATTATTAACATCTTTATTGACAAAATTAATATACAATTTTTTCCTAGTCGGAATAATTCAATCGTGTCTTTATTGCATTGACGCTGCTGCTGCTGCTGCTGCTGCTCATATTCACTGCCACACAGGACAGTGAAGGTGCTGCTCATATTCACTGCCATACAGGACAGTAAGGGTGCTGCTCATATTCACTGCCACACAGGACAGTGAAGGTGCTGCTCATATTCACTGCCATACAGGACAGTAAGGGTGCTGCTCATATTCACTGCCACACAGGACAGTGAGGGTGCTGCTCATATTCACTGCCACACAGGACAGTGAGGGTGCTGCTCATATTCACTGTCACACAGGACAGTGAGGATGCTGCTCATATTCACTGCCACACAGGACAGTGAGGGTGCTGCTCATATTCACTGTCACACAGGACAGTGAGGATGCTGCTCATATTCACTGCCACACAGGACAGTGAGGATGCTGCTCATATTCACTGCCACACAGGACAATGAGGATGCTGCTCATATTCACTGCCACACAGGACAGTGAAGATGCTGCTCATATTCACTGCCACACAGGACAATGAGGATGCTGCTCATATTCACTGCCACACAGGACAGTGAAGATGCTGCTCATATTCACTGCCACACAGGACAATGAGGATGCTGCTCATATTCACTGCCACACAGGACAGTGAAGATGCTGCTCATATTCACTGCCACACAGGACAGTGAGGGTGCTGCTCATATTCACTGCCACACAGGACAGTGAAGATGCTGCTCATATTCACTGCCACACAGGACAATGAGGATGCTGCTCATATTCACTGCCACACAGGACAGTGAAGATGCTGCTCATATTCACTGCCACACAGGACAGTGAGGGTGCTGCTCATATTCACTGCCACACAGGACAGTGAGGGTGCTGCTCATATTCACTGCCACACAGGACAGTGAGGGTGCTGCTCATATTCACTGCCACACAGGACAGTGAAGATGCTGCTCATATTCACTGCCACACAGGACAGTGAAGATGCTGCTCATATTCACTGCCACACAGGACAGTGAAGATGCTGCTCATATTCACTGCCACACAGGACAGTGAGGATACTGCTCATATTCACTGTCACACAGGACAGTGAGGATACTGCTCATATTCACTGCCACACAAGACAGTGAGGATACTGCTCATATTCACTGCCACACAGGACAGTGAAGATGCTGCTCATATTCACTGCCAGACAAGACAAAGGATCATACATAAGACAATTGGTCTAAATTGTAAATTTAAACAAATATTTCACGAATTTACAAATCTACTACGTCAGATATACGTGTTTTTATTTACAAATTTGTAAATGCCACTTTCATTTGTTACTGTCACTCAGGACAGGAATGAATATATGAGATGCAACCGAAAAAAAGTAATACAAATAAAATTAATATGACATTTTTTATATAAACTGGTAGGATGTCTGAACAAAACAGACTCAAGGAAATAGTTACATAGTTGATTATACAATGGGCCAGGAGGCCTAAAATCATTCACAGTTTCACATTCAATAATATTGGGTTCGGGTGAATGTTATAACGGGTTGTATATAGGATGTATAGGATGAATAATCTGATAGTGATGCAGCCTCAGCAACTTGCCGGATGTGTCTACATAGTTAAGGGGCGAATTACAGCAACGTGGTAGGATGGTAGACGTAATGAGTTGATGAGTTGATAGTGTGTGAGAGGCAGGAGGGGGTTGGCTATGGTAGAATGTAAGACATGTTGGCTCTGGTAGAATATAACAGAAGTTGGCTATGGTAGAATGTAAGACATGTTGGCTCTGGTAGAATGTAACAGAAGTTGGCTATGGTAGAATGTAAGACATGTTGGCTCTGGTAGAATATAACAGAAGTTGGCTGTGATAGAACATAACACATGTTGGCTGTGATAGGATGTAACAGAAGTTGGCTGTGATAGGATGTAACAGAAGTTGGCTGTGATAGAATGTAAGACATGTTGGCTCTGGTAGAATGTAACAGAAGTTGGCTGTGATAGAATGTAACAGAAGTTGGCTGTGATAGAATGTAACAGAAGTTGGCTGTGATAGAATATAACAGAAGTTGGCTGTGATAGAATGTAAGACATGTTGGCTCTGGTAGAATATAACAGAAGTTGGCTGTGATAGAACATAACACATGTTGGCTGTGATAGGATGTAACAGAAGTTAGCTGTGATAGAATATAACACATGTTGGCTGTGATAGGATGTAACAGAAGTTAGCTGTGATAGAATGTAACACATGTTGGCTGTGATAGAATGTAACAGAAGTTGGCTGTGATAGAATGTAACAGCAGCTATGGTAATGGACGATAACCAGCAAGGACAGGCATAGGGGAAAGGAAGGAGGCTGAGTTACACTCAGCATTAGAGTACAGATCGCAGAGTGAAACCTGCAACCGACGCCCGAGAGATAAACAAAAGGAACTAGTGTCTCACACACTCCCTCGCTGCAAAATATTTAACAAGATTTAACTTTTTTTCTCCCCCTCGAGGTAGGAATGGACTCGTGGGCCTGGCAGGTGGGTCGGGGGTCGAGGCTACGGTTACTCTGCCTTTCCTCTCTACTACACAGCAGAATGTTTTATCAAATTATTATATTTTTACTTGAGATGGGAGAATTGGACATTTAGAAGGGGGCGAGAGGCAAGCAAAAATGAGACGAGGAAAGAGGCACATGGAAGGAGGAGGCAGGGAGGGAGGGAGAGAGAGAGGGAGGAGGCATTGAGAGGGAGGAGGCATTGAGAGGCAGGAGGCATTGAGAGGGAGGAAGCATTGAGAGGGAGGGGGCATTGAGAGGGAGGCATTGAGAGGGAGGAGGCATTGAGGGAGAGGAGGCATTGAGAGGGAGGAAGTGCATGGAAGCCCCCAACATAAATCCCGTTTATCAGGACAAAGTCCGTATTTAGGCTTATGGAGGTTCACCTAGGCCTACTGAACTTCCCCAGTATGCAACCTGCAACAGCTGCCAAATTTCCGGATACCTGTTTTTCTGCTAGGTAAACAGAGGCATCAGATAAAACGTCCCCAACCGGTTTTGACCCGCCCGAGGGTTAAACCCGGATCCCTCGATTGTAAGTCAGTTACGTAGACCACTGGGCTACAGGAGCCTGTAATTGTTTCCGGCTTAACATGGACCTGGAGCCGGTGACAAGTGTAGTGGGAAGACAGACATCAACACCTGGAGTGTTGATGGTAAGGTGTTCAACACCTGGAGTGTTGATGGTAAGGTGTTCAACACCTGGAGTGTTGATGGTAAGGTATTCAACACCTGGAGTGTTGATGGTAAGGTATTCAACACCTGGAGTGTTGATGGTAAGGTGTTCAACACCTGGAGTGTTGATGGTAAGGTGTTCGACACCTGGAGTGTTGATGGTAAGGTATTCAACACCTGGAGTGTTGATGGTAAGGTATTCAACACCTGGAGTGTTGATGGTAAGGTGTTCAACACCTGGAGTGTTGATGGTAAGGTGTTCAACACCTGGAGTGTTGATGGTAAGGTGTTCAACACCTGGAGTGTTGATGGTAAGGTGTTCAACACCTGGAGTGTTGATGGTAAGGTGTTCAACACCTGGAGTGTTGATGGTAAGGTGTTCAACACCTGGAGTGTTGATGGTAAGGTGTTCAACACCTGGAGTGTTGATGGTAAGGTGTTCAACACCTGGAGTGTTGATGGTAAGGTGTTCAACACCTGGAGTGTTGATGGTAAGGTGTTCAACACCTGGAGTGTTGATGGTAAGGTGTTCAACACCTAGAGTGTTGATGGTAAGGTACTCAACACCTGGAGTGTTGATGGTAAGGTATTCAACACCTGGAGTGTTGATGGTAAGGTGTTCAACACCTAGAGTGTTGATGGTAAGGTGTTCAACACCTGGAGTGTTGATGGTAAGGTGTTCAACACCTGGAGTGTTGATGGTAAGGTGTTCAACACCTGGAGTGTTGATGGTAAGGTGTTCAACACCTGGAGTGTTGATGGTAAGGTGTTCAACTCTCTCATAGCCATTCTTCAGTTACAAATGTTTACACAGCTTCATAGGGTCCAACACGGGCCGAAACGTCGCCATATAAGGGTCCAACTCGGACCGAAACGTCGCCATATAAGGGTCCAGTACGGGCCGAAACGTCGACACATAAGGGCCCAACACGGACCGAAACGTCATCTCTTTCATTTCGTACGTGTGCGTTGAGTTGTCTCAGCCTCGTTATTGTGAGCTGTTCTCTTATAAATATTATTATTATCATCCACTTGGCCTGGACGGTAGAACGACGGTCTCGCTTTATACAGGTCGGCGTTCAATCCCCGACCGTCCACAAGTGGTTGGGCACCATTCATTCCCCCCGTCCCATCCCAAATCCTGATCCCTTCCAAGTGCTATATAGCCGTAATGGCTTGGCGCTTTCCCCCCCTGATAATTCCCACCCTCCCAAGTTTTACACACGGACCTTATCGCTTCGTGTTTGGAATTGTATAGTTATTATCTTGTGTGTGGCATCAATTGCTGGTTAAAAATACACGCGAGGTCTGGCAGGATTACTTAAACACGTATGGATTTACAGAATTCAATTAACCTCTGAACAGCATTCAAGTTAATGTCAACAGTCCAGTAATTAGCGTTTTGCCATTAATACAAATTATGCAGTATGTATAATGTATAGTTGCCTTGTCTGCTGCATGTTTCATAATCTCTAGTTATATATTTTCATTGATTAAAGTTATATTTGCATAATTTAAGTCACTGACATCTGCATACAAATCTTGGTGCTTGTGACCCCCTGCCATGTATATAAATCATAAAAATATAATTTCCTACCAAACAGTGAAGCAATGTGTCATTTTGGACTCGTATTCATCAGTCATTTACACGTGCAAAACGAAACCTGTACATCCTTCGTCGATCTTGGCGGCTAAGTGTGTATTTATTAAACGGTTTACGAGTATCCAAATTTGGCAACTCCCAAGGTTATTATGAACAAATATGAACAATTATGAACAACCTCCTAGCGTTTCAGAACCCCATAAAGTGTTTTAATAAATGTACACTAAGCTGTCAGGTTTACCCAGGTGCTGTTGATGGTAAACTTTCTCAGGTTTACCCAGCGTGAGGAAGAGCCTAAGTCACACCAACCCCTGAAGGCGTAATTGTCTTCATTTTCACCAATTTAGAGAAAATGTGTCGCCTCTCTATTGGCCCATTCTGTTTCCACAGTTGCCAATACTTTTTTTGAAAATAGCCCATAATTTTCAAAACTTCGGGGGACCATTGGATCATTTGGCTTATAATTCTCCCTAATCACTGACAGTCTAATCAGGTTTGCACTTTGTCGTTGATAGTTGTTTCATATCAAATTACATTGAACAATTCGTAATTTTGTTTCAGATACAGCCATAATTAATTGCCTGACTGGTGGATACACATTCTCTTCCACATACACATCACACATGTATCCAACACCGGGGGGAGGGAGGAGGGTGGAATCACACAATGGGACACAGGTGGAAGCTGAGTACCCAAATGAGCCACAGAGACAGCAGTTAGAACTTTTTTCAGTGTTAGAGTAGTTAGTAAATGGAATGCATTAGGCAGTGATGTGGTGGAGGCTGACTCCATACACAGTTTCAAATGTAGATATGATAGAGCCCAGTAGGCTCAGGAACCTGTACACCTGTTGAGAGGCGGGACCAAAGAGTCGAAGCTCAAACACCCGCAAGGACAATTAGGTGAGTACATACACTCACACACACTTATGTCCTCACATATACTCAGTTACTCACATGACACACTCAAGGAAATACATTTACCACATTACAACGGCTGTAGCTTGTTGTATCCAGGATGGTACAAAAACTGCAGCTTGTGTCCAGGATGGTACAAAAACTGCAGCTTGTGTCCAGGATGGTACAAAAACTGCCGCTTTTGGTGTCCAGGATGGTACAAAAACTGCCGCTTGTGGTATCCAGGATGGTACAAAAACTGCAGCTTTTGGTGTCCAGGATGGTACAAAAACTGCCGCTTTTGGTGTCCAGGATGGTACAAAAACTGCCGCTTGTGGTATCCAGGATGGTACAAAAACTGCCGCTTGTTGTATCCAGGATGGTACAAAAACTGCAGCTACAGTGTCCAGAATGGTCCAAAATCTTCCTTGTATTAACCAGTAGGCCAGCTGTGATTATCTGTATTCTTGTGTTCTGTATTACCTAATGTGACGCCTTGCTATGCATCAGATATTACGTTGTTGCATTTCAGATTCGTAAATTGAAACCATATATAATATATCTGTTTTACTAGATTTTAACCCCAGGAACTATATACGTGATTCAATATTTAATTTAGACGTTAATTTAGACGTTTTTTCTCGTTCTTATGAGCCTCTAACCTGTGTGGCGGTGAATACGATCAGCATCCTCACTATAATTAGACCTAATTGAATTACTCCGATAAGGAGTAATTCAGATAGCCAAATTGTATTATTTTGTAAGTAGAGAAGGCAATTATAATAAAGGATAAGATATTTTAATTAAGAAGCAGCTGAGGGATGTATTAAATACAACCTCATTTTGGCCGGAATATGAGTAGTATATTCCCTTGAGAATATACACAGTATATTAGCCAAAAATCTGGCGTTCAAGCATCATTTTATCTTAACACTGAAAATTAAATTTAAACAGTGTCGCTAAACATTTTACCATTCCAAATTCTGTTAAAATTGCCTGAACATTTTCCCGGCATAGTATATTATTATAATGTAGTACAAAATAACAAAAATGGTTTTTGTCTAAAAAAAAATTCTGAGTTACTGAATAATTTAGACCAAATAAAATGTGAATTTTAACTTTTACCGGGTCCAGGGGGGACAGTTGCGTTATTATCTAGCCATGAGGCGAGTGTGTCCGGATGTTTTAGAGCGAATATGAACAAACATGATCTCGTCACGTCACCTTCACGAGTGTCTCGAGTGGTTGCTTAAGCATGACTTTATTTACTGTCCCTTGGAGGGGAAGCCAGGTGTGTACATGCGCGATCTAGCCAGGAATGAGTGGCATTCTGCTAATTAGTGCTGATTAGTATAGGTGTCCTAGACACACACACACACACACACACACACACACACACGCGCGCGCGCGCGCACACACATCTGTTTTGTGTTGATATAACTGGAAACAATATAAGACGTCCACTCCACACACCTGAAAATAAAGGACGTGGCGACGTTTCGATCCGTCCTGGACTTGACAGTGATCCTAGACGGACCGAAATGTCGTCACTTCGTTGACTTTGTGATGTGTGGTGTGGGCCGTCTAATTGTCAGCCACGTTATTGTGACTTACTGCCCATAATATATATAAATTTCATAAGATTAGATTTAGGAAAGACCTGGGTAAATATTGGTTTGGCAAGAGGTTGTTGATAACTGGAATAAATTACCGGGTAACGTAATAGATATGGGATCGATAATGTATATGAATGAGTTGTGATAGACATAATTATGAGCTGTCGCATATGGGTCTCTAGGTCTTCTATAGTTCCATTTATTCTTATGTTAAAACACAAATCAGTGATAAACATTTGCATACGTGTAGGAGAGGACTGGCCCGTGTGGGAGAGGGCTGACCCGTGTGGGAGAGGGCTGGCCCGTGTGGGAGAGAGGGCTGACCCGTGTGGGAGAGGGCTGACCCGTGTGGGAGAGGACTGGCCCGTGTGGGAGAGGGCTGACCCGTGTGGGAGAGGGCTGGCCCGTGTGGGAGAGGGCTGGCCCGTGTGGGAGAGGGCTGGCCCGTGTGGGAGAGGACTGGCCCGTGTGGGAGAGGGCTGGCCCGTGTGGGAGAGGGCTGACCCGTGTGGGAGAGGACTGGCCCGTGTGGGAGAGGGCTGACCCGTGTGGGAGAGGGCTGACCCGTGTGGGAGAGAGGGCTGACCCGTGTGGGAGAGGGCTGGCCCGTGTGGGAGAGGGCTGACCCGTGTAGGAGAGGACTGGCCCGTGTGGGAGAGGGCTGACCCGTGTGGGAGAGGACTGGCCCGTGTGGGAGAGGGCTGACCCGTGTGGGAGAGGGCTGACCCGTGTGGGAGAGAGGGCTGGCCCGTGTGGGAGAGGGCTGACCCGTGTAGGAGAGGACTGGCCCGTGGGAGAGAGGGCTGACCCGTGTGGGAGACGGCTGGCCCGTGTGGGAGAGGGCTGGCCCGTGTGGGAGACGGCTGGCCCGTGTGGGAGACGGCTGGCCCGTGTGGGAGAGGACTGGCCCGTGTGGGAGAGGGCTGGCCCGTGTGGGAGAGGGCTGACCCGTGTGGGAGAGGGCTGGCCCGTGTGGGAGAGAGGACTGGCCCGTGTGGGAGAGGGCTGGCCCGTGTGGGAGAGGGCTGGCCCGTGTAGGAGAGGACTGGCCCGTGTGGGAGACGGCTGGCCCGTGTGGGAGAGGGCTGGCCCGTGTGGGAGACGGCTGGCCCGTGTGGGAGACGGCTGGCCCGTGTGGGAGAGGGCTGGCCCGTGTGGGAGAGGGCTGGTGTATTGTGCAAAATAATGTGTAAGGCATTAGTATGCGCAAGTGCAAGGTCTATGACGTAATTCTGATTAGCCCTCGATGACGTCACTGAACCTATTATGACGTCACTCCACCATTCAGTAACTATAGACATACGATGATTTAATTGGTTAAAATATGTGACTCTGGATCGTACGGTTGATGAACTACTTTACCTACACCAAAGTGCTTTGCCGGTTATATGTAAAACTTGGGACTGGCATCAGTATAGAAGCCTCCAGACCTCCGGAGGATTCAGTGGAATCCCAGGCTGTATAGCTAAGACAAGTCACGGTGGTACAGTGGTAAGGTGTGCGGCTGGGAGTTCCTATAGATCGTCGGGTCGAGGCAACTCAGTGCTCCAGTTGATTTTTCTCACTGACGACATTAGCGCCTCGGCACGGTAAAGTGACTGTTGAACACAGTGGACAGATAGAAAGTGACAGATAGACAGGCATTAACGACGGTGACTTTAAACGGGTGTTGAGG